CCCAGAAACGAAGGGAACGATACCCCAAAACACTCGCCGATACAACACGGGCGATACTAGGGGTGGCGTCGGCCTCAGCTTAAACTTCCCTCCTCCACCAATGGGCACGCGCGGCCCCGCCCATGTCCCTCGAAGAGCCAATCAGCGAGCAGCGGCGCCGTCAAACCTCCTCAGGGGCCAATCGGAGGGCGGGACGGCCGGGCCAATAAGACGGCAGCGCTTCATTTAAATGATGGCTCTGTCGCGCTCTCCGCGGGGGGGCCGCAAACCGAGGCGGGGTCTTTGCGACACCTGGAAACCCGTTGCTTAGAGACGGAATCCGTCTTTTGGTTTTGCAAAGAGCTGGTGTCGAGGGGAAGACAGGGGCGGCCGCAGACTTTCCACCGGAGGTAGAGACGCCCTTGCGGTTGCCAGGGGCAACCTGGGGCAAAACCGTTCAGGAGGCTAATGTGGCTCCAGCCAGCCTCCTGTCCAATGGCCCCCGCCCAGGGTTATAGTCATTCACTGGTTTTTTTTCTCGCGGTTTCCACGGCCGAACGGGAGAGAATGAGGACGATGAGATGTCCAGTTTGTGCGAACGGGCTTACTTAAATGAGTGACCACAGCAGGGGGAGTCAGTGAGTTTACATGCCGGGTTTTTATTTATTATTGAATGTACTGGGGTGACATAGGTGAGTAACATTATACAGGTCTCAAGTGCACAATTCTACAATATTGCATTGTGTCTTTCTATTGCATTGTGTGTTGGCTAGTTCTTAACTAGATAGAGATTTCTGGGAGCAAAAGTAGATGAAACCTGAGATTCACAATTAACTCACGACTGATGGCGTTGGCAGGCCATCCCTGGACAGATAACTCCTTGGTTTTATCTAATAACATATGCATATATGCCCAGGGTGGTTTTAAGCCCCAACACTGTTGGATGGGACCCATTAACCTGTATTTTACAGACGTGCAGGAAGGCCAGCAAGAGGCAAAGCCAGGATATGTAACAGAGGAGGCGTGGCCCTAATCTTGCCCTTACCCTACACCACACTGCCTCTAAAGGCGGTAGGAAACTCTGTTTTTGTTTTATATTTTTATTGATTTTAGAGAGGAAGGGAGAGGGAGAGAGAGAAACATCCATGATGAGAATCATTGCTCGACTGCCTCCTGCACGCCCCCCACTGGGGATCGAGAGTGCAACCTGGGGCATGTGCCCTTGACCGGGAATCCAACTGTGACCTCCTGGTTCATAGGTCGATGCTCAACCACTGAGCAAGACTACTACAGAGCATTCTAAGCAAAAGTGCTGGCATGAATGATAATTCCAAAAACACTTCATTTACATTATGTCATACGGTGACTATCATCCTTCAGTTTAACATTGCAAATACAAGCCTTCTTAGGCCTCCGTCACTGAAAGGTTGGTTTCCGCTCCACGGTGTAGTTCATTTTGTTTACTAGTCATTGTTAGCATGTAAACGTATATTAGTTAGCCACTTAAAAACCATTAAATCATTTAATACATTTAATATGTAAAATGTCGCAAAGTATCTGGCTGATGAGAAATAAAATTGACAGAGATGTGCCCGGAACGCTCGGTTTTCCATTTGTTCAGTGTCTCTGACTCACCCAGGCCTGCAGAGGGCTGAGTGCCACCATCCCCATGTCGAGAACCTGTTCAGTAAGAACCTGGAGATGCTTTATGAAGAGCCAAGAACTTTATTGTGAGTATCAAAATGACACAGAGAACTAGGTTGGCGTACAACATCCTCCTCATCACAGACACGGGGGCTTTTCTACAAAGACACTGGTACTTCAGAAACACGGGGCAGCCAGCGTCTCCAGAAAACACGCCCGGGAACGTCACACACGGGCGACAGAATGACGCCTGTGGCTAGCTGAGGTTTCTCTCTGTAACTGCTCTGACACGTGTCCTTAGGGATTAAAACAAAACTTGGGAGCGGAGACTGAAAACTAAGTTCGAAAGCATTTTCACTCTGATGAACATCGTGAGTCCCCTTCATCCTAACAGGTACTACACAGCGTGGAGCAGCTCGGTGCTCACCTCTGCACTCTTCTGATGGCCTCCACACCCATCAGCTGTCCTCCAGTTTCATCTGCCAGTCAAGCCCGACTGTTGGAAGGAATAAAAGTTTTGTAATTGCACCCCAGGGTGCTGTCCACCCT